AAATCCGTGGCTGCTAAAATCGACCTCCGGGAGGTTGTCTCCGTCCTTCCGGGAAGAAGCCCGTTGACTGTTTCGCGTGCCGCGCCTCATTCCGGGAAGTTGTTTTTTCCTTCCGGGAGGGCCGTTTTAGCAGCCATGTTTTAGCAGCCCTCGCCCAGCTTTCGAGAGAGGATTTTGGAGGCCTTCGGAAGTAGTTAGGGTCGTGCGTCGCGCTGCGCGGGCGCGCGGCGCGGCGCGGGCTTCGGCGGAACAGACCGCTTCTGCGCCCGCACGCCTGAGGGGGAGGACGAGATAGGTGCGTAAGCATCTTATCTGACGTCCTCCCCCTCCATCCCGTCCCTCACAACGGCGCAGATGTCCTCTCTACTCGCGCAGTCGGATGTCGCAGCGTGGCACTTCATGGCTTGGCACAACATGGCATTGACAATCAACGCTTAGCATGACATAGCATGGCGTAGCACTGCGTAGTCAAGCATTGCATATCATAGCACTGCAGCTGAAGGAATGGGATCGCACAGCGAAACACGCCATAGCATTGCGTTGCATCCCATGGCATGGCACGGGAAGTGAGGCCAGCGCTGCAGCGACAGCAGCGCCTGTCGCCTCCTGGTCTGCCTCCTTGTCGTGGTCGCCGTCGTTAGCGTCGTTGTCGTGGTCTTCGTCGTCCTCCTCCTCTTCAGTCAACTTTCCCTGATCGGCGCCGGACCCCCCTCCCCGGCGCGCGGAGCGCGCCAGGGAGGGGGCCCCGCGCCGATGCGAGGAAACCGCGCGGACCTCGGAGTTTGTATGTCCATGTCATTGTTTGCTCCCTGCCATCGCCCACTCCTCGCCGGTAGGGGCCCGGTAGCCCCCCCCCCCCCAGGAGCTCGGCGATGCATCGCCGATTCCAGCTCGATGTTTCCCCCCCCCCTGAGCTGGTCCCCCCCTATCGTGGCCCCTCGCCCTACGGTCGTAAGTGATCACGGTCGTTGAAAAGGAACCCCTTCGGGGGGGGGTCGGGGACGAGTGCACCTAGTGCGGTCTTCAGGGCGGGAGCAGGGCTCTCTAGCAGACGTGTTGGCGCGTACGCGTTTGATGGCCAATATCTAGATCTGGTTGTCTCACAGCGGTGCCAGTAAATGTGCCGGTCCTCTTCTCCCTGCTCTCTTCTGGGGGGGGGTACGGGAGTTTCCGTCGGGCCTTCAGGTTTTTTCTCTTGTCTCGGGGTACCTTCCAGCAACCGCGCCCAAGGTATGGTTCGCAATGCAGACGCCCTCGAGTGGGAAAATCAGAGCGTGAGGCTTCGGTCATTGTCAGCATCAAGGGGCCCCCTGCCTGGTCCGGGGGCCGTCAGCAAAGGGCTCGAGGAGAGAGAGAGCAGTCCCCGCCAGGCAGGGGTGACGAAGCGCAACACATGAATTAAAGGCGCGTGGATGAGCGGCAGGCCACATTTGCGCACGGCATCGGCGAGCTCCGACGCCAGATAATTGGTAGTCCCCAAACGTGGCGGTGACAACACCTGGCGGTGAGTCTCGGGCGATTTGGTGTCACCACCCGGTTTGGGGACTCGTGCGGTTTTCCGAGGATGTCCCGAGCGTTGGTGGGTCCAGGAGTCACAAAACCCGGTGGTGACCCCGCGTCCCCAAACCCAGCGGTGACCTTTTTGGGGATTCCAGGTCGCCATCTGGTATCTCACCACCTGGTTTGGGGGTTCCCAAGATAAGCGGCAGTGGCGCTTTGTTTCGGAGGGCTAGTCTTTCCGATCCGTGGGTCTAGCGTCCACGCGCCATATCCACGGATTCCTAGTCGTTCTTGTTCCCGTTGTATAACAGGGAACAGCGAGCACACATGTCTGGTACTGCTGTTTAGGCCTCCAAGATGGGGTCCGAGTAGATGGGGTCGGGGGATCGCGCCGCATCGCTGATGCAGTGCCGATGCGGCTCGATGTGGAGCCCGACTTTCTCCACGCCGATGGCGGCGATTCAACGCCGACGTCGCCTATGCATCGGTGATGCGGCGAGATCCCCCGACCCCATCTATTCTGATCCCATCCAGTAGGCTTCTATGTAAGCGAGAGGAACAAAGAGTTGAACGGATTTGTGGACACTCATCGTCGCCACGATGTTAAATCGAAACGTCCATGTGTTTTGGCCACCTCTGGGTATATGCTTGGCTGGACTCAATTTTAAGTGAGCCATCTGCTTGCAACCGTATGTAGGGAGTTTGATTAAGGTATCTCTGCTTTCGAAACGCGTCCTGACAGCGTAGACTCTCCAGCTTCGGGGAAACGTGAGACTCGGGTTCGCCAGAACTCGAGTTTGCCGACGCTTTTTTTTAGGCCCGTCTTACAGTTTGACGGTTAAGTTCTCATTGGATGTTTGCAGCGGGTGTTCACGTCAGATTGCAGATTGGGTTTTGTCATTTTCTTGAGGGCCCCATCATGTTTGCCCGAGTCCTCCGACTTTGAGTCTTACGTCTCCCCGACAGCTACTGTTTTGCTGCCGCTCTTTCCCGTCCTGCGCCTCGTACTGGACTCTTCCACCTCCCGTCGCTCTCTCCCATTTCTTATTGTCCTCTTCTTTGAAACACGTGGGCCGCCCATTGCCTCGTGGTTCCTCCTGACCCGCTTCCTCGCGGCACCCTTGCAGCTCGGTTCGGGCTCGCTCATCACATTATGGATGAGCAATCGTTTCTTTTGGGCTGGCGTGCACGGTACAACTGAATCTTTGATTGTGTACCTTGTGTGGTTGACCGTCCTGCATGGACTTACCTGGCAGGCGTCGGATATCTAATGGCTTTCGCCCGCCCATCATGGCCCATCCCGCCACCATGTCTGGGCGTGGACGTGAGACCTTTTAGAGGCCTCTTGGGATCTTCTGTGAAGGGGGACTTGGAGGTGTGTTGGAAACTTCTTGACGCCTCCAGGGGTGGCTCTAGGGTTCTCTGGGGAGCCTGTTGGGAGGGCTGGCGAAAGTTTTGACGGCCATTTGGGGATCGGAGCGCTCCTGACGTGTTCCCCTTGTGTTGGGCTCCTCGTGGCACGCTTGTGGGCGCCGCATTGGGCTCCCATCGGGGACTCCTGGGCCCAGCTTTCACCACCCACCAAACGACCCCAACCCAACCCGAAGGCCTTAATTTTCCCTCGGGGAACATTGAAAAAACACACATGGAACCCGTACCCCCCCCAACCCAAAATTCGGGTCTTCGGGTTGGGTTGGGGTGGTCTGGTAGGTAGTCAAGCTTGGAGCGATCTCAGGAGCCTCGTGGACCGACTCAGGCGTTGTTGGGGCCGGGAGACCAAACGTGTGCAGCTCGTGTCAGTGGGTCTCGGAGGACTTGGGGTTTCTGGAGCCCACCAGGAGCGTCCCCCCCCCCCCGGAGGTGGCACCAGAGAGGCGCGGGGGCCCATGGACGGGCCCCGGGGACCCTCCCAGAGCAGGCCGGTGGCGTGGATGCCGAACTCTGCGCCTCCGGGGGCTCGGCACACGGCCCAGGGCCCAGTTCGATTCGAGCGATCCTCCTCGTCCTCCTCCTCCCCTCCTCCTCCTCCCCCCTCCTCCTCTCCCCCTCCCCTCCTCCTCCTCCTCCTCCTCCTCCTCCTCCTCCTCCTCCTCCTCATCGACTTGATTCGATTCCGATGTTGGCCCTCCTGATCGATCCGAGCGATCCGATCCGATGCCGAGGATCCGATGCGGCCCGATGCTTTCATGGCCCGAGCTGGGCCCTGGGCCGAGGAATCCGAGGATCGGCCCTCCCGATCCGACTCGGTGCTGATTTTCCGGCGATCCGATGCGGCCCGATGCTTTCGTGGTGCTGCTTTGCATCCCGGCGCAGCCGATTCGCTTCGATGTCTTCTCCGTACCGGTGTCGCCCGATTCGACGGACATTCCTGTTCGATTTTTCCGATTCGATGGTGACTGATCTTGCGCTACCGAGGGCTCGGGACATGCCATGCCATGCGGAGCACCCAAGAGCGCCCAGGAGCACCCGCGAGACTCAAAAATTATGGGTTTGTGGCTTGTGAGCACGGTGGTGAGGCTTCGGGTTCCGCACAGACAGTTCCCCCAGTTAGTCTCAGATTGCCTTAACAGGCGCCCCGAGTAGTTCCAGCTGGCCTCAACAGGACCCCCGAGTAGTCCGGGCGGCGCCCCGGTCTGCGCGCAACCCGAGTACAACACTCGCCATCAATTGAGGGCTCGGAGGCACCTCGGGGCGGTCCTCTCGGTGCCTCCAGCGCCGTGGCGGATTGTGGGGCAAGAGTGGTGAGCGGGACGTACACCTGGTGACAATTGGGAACGACAAGCTGGAGGTGGACGTCTGCGAACTGGGTGCGGCGCTTGTGGCTGTGAGAGTGAAGAAGAGTGGCGCTTGGGTCGACGTCGCCTTGGGCTACGAGTCCTTGGAGAGATACACTGGGGGGGGCAAGCCCAATTTTGGAACGGCGGTCGGTCGTTGTGCGAATCGTATCGCCGGTGCGGCTTTCGAGCTGGACGGACAGACGTACGAACTGGAAAAGAATAACGGGCCGAACCATTTGCACGGAGGCACGGAGGGTTTCTACAGTCAGGTGTTCTCGGGGTCCGTGACCAGCGAAACCACGGTTCGTCTCACCGCTTCGGAGCCAGACGGAGCCATGGGCTACCCAGGACAGGTAGACCTGACGGTGGTGTACGAGGTCGTCGGGAACGAGCTGCACTTCCGCTACTCCGGGAGCACGAGCAGGCCCACGCTCCTGAGCATGACCAACCACACGTACTGGAACCTGAAGGGCCACGCGGCCGGGAACGTGCTCGACCACTCCCTCATGGTCGCCGGCTCGCGGACCACCGAGGTGGACGGCTCGTTGGCCATCACGGGCCGCTGCCCAGGAGTGGAGGGCACGCCGCTGGACCTGCGGGCCGCGGTGCCGACGCTCCTGCAGGAGACGCGGGCTTGAGAGGCAGCGCCGCTGCGCGTCCCTGTCCTCGTTCCTTTTCGCTTCCACTCCTTGGCCTTCCCTCCCTCCTCCTCCCTCGCTTCCCCTTCCCCTCCCCCCGCATTCCCCTTTCCGCCTCCGCGGTACGGACATCACAGTCGTGGGCTGAGCCCACTCGTCCTCCCTCAGTCTGGCTGTCTCCTTTCTCCCTCCCTCCCCCCTCTAGACTCTAGATCTCTCTCTCTCTCTCTTTCTCTAGTTTTTTTTATTTTTTTATTTGTTTGTTAGTTTCTCTCTCTCTCTCTCTCTCACTCTCACACACTCGAATGTTGATGCATTTCTGTGGATCCGAAGCCCCTGGGACTGCTGGCCCCTCTCCAAACAAACGGACCCCCGAGATCCCTGGCTTTGAGAGCGCCCCTCGCACGGCCCCCCCCTAGGCCTCCTGGGCGTCCCGGGCGCCCCCGCCGAGCCTGGCGCCGGCGAGCCTTTTCGGCGGTCGAGCGGACGGCCCCGCGGCCCCCGCGGCAGTCCGAGGCGCGACAGCCCGCGGGCGCCCCTCGAATGCACAGGGACGCCCCAAACAAAGTGTCCAGGAGGAAAAGAAACACACAGACACAATTCATCCTCGATTTCCCAGAAAATATTGGAAAATATGGGAAGTGGGCGGGAAGACAGAAACCCAGAAAATATGGGAAAATACAGGGAATATTTTTATTTGTGTGTATTTATTTGTGTGTCCTGGGGCCCCTTCAAAAGTGTCCAGGAGGCTCTCCAAGCGGCAGACTCTGGGCGTCCGAGGCCGCCGGAGAGGCCCCCTGGATAGCCCCAAGACGGGCCAGCGAGGTTTCAAGATGGCCCGAGGCAGCCCCAAGACGGCCCAGCAGTGTCCCAAGGAAGCCCACGGAAAGCCCAGAGACAGCCCAAGATGACCCCAAGATGCCCCTCCAAGCATTCCACGTCGGGACCCGGTCGTTGAGGGAAACCGCGATTGCCAGCAACACGGCCCTAAGAAGCCGCCAGAGTTCTTCTAGGGCCTACCCCCAGGGCCCACCCCCTGGGCCTACCCATTGGCCTACTCTAGGTCTACCCCTGGGGCCCACCCCTGGGCCTATCTTAGGCCAAATTGCCCCCAGGGCCTACCCCTAGAGCCTCCCTCTCGCCTACTCCTGGGCCTACCCCAGGGCCTACCTCCACCCCAAGGACCAAGGACCTACCCCTAGTGATTGTAGGGCCTACCCCTTGGGCCCAACCCTAGGCCTACCCCTAGGGCTTATCCCTAGTCTTACTCCCAGGGCCTGACTTTCGGGTCTTCCTCTATCACGACCTGAGGCCTAGCCCGAGTGCTTAGGTCTAGACATAGGATAGGCCTACCTCGAGGCGTTTTTTTCCCTGAGGCCTACTCTAGGCCTACTCCAAGGGCATCTCTCGACCTGTCGTGGGCTTCCTCCTAGGCTCACCTCTAAGCTTACCCTCATGACCCCCAGAGCCTGCGCCCAGACCCTGCGTCCTTGGCCTACGCCCAGTCACACGCCCAGGCCTTACGTCTTGGGCTTACCTCTAGACCCGACCCTTAGGCTACCCAGAAGCCCAGGTCTTGCCATGTATGTGTGTATATATGTATATGTATATGTATATGTATATGTATATGTATATGTATATGTATATATATATATATATGTATATATATGTGAATGGATGTATGTCTGTATGTTTGGATGTATGTATGCATGCATGCATACATACATGTGTGTATGTATGTATGTATGTATGCATGTATGTATGTATGTATGTATGTATGTATGTATGTATGTATGTATGTATGCACGTGTGTACGTGTGTACGTATGTTTGTAATGCAATGCTATTTGATGTGATGCAATGTAATCAAGTTTGGATTATCGCATTGCAATGTAATGTTTTGCATTGTAAAGAATTGTGTTGCCATGTATTACAAAATATGGTAAATCAATGTACTGTAAAGTGTTGTACTGCACAGGTACTGTTTTGTACTGTACTGCACTGTTCTGTACTGTACTGTACTGTATTGTAAGGTGTGTATGCATGTATCATGCATGCATGTATGCATGTATGTATGTATGTCTGTCCGTCTGTCTGTCTGTCTGTCTGTATGTATGTATGTATTTATGTATGTATGGATGTGCGTATGTATGCATGCATGCATGCATGCATGCATGCATGTATGTATGTATGTATGTATGTATGTATGTATGTATGTATGTATGTATGTATGTTTATACGTATGTGTGTATGTGTATGTATACACATATATGTATATAGATATATACACATATATTGTACCGCATAGTTGCAGCACGTAAAGTGCACAACATAGATCGGACAACGTCGATTGCACAACACAGATCGCACTGCGTCGATCGCACAACACTGATCGCACCACACAGGTCGCACACACTTTAATGCCCCGCCCGCCCGACCCGATCCGCCCGGCGGCCCTCGACCAGGCCTGGCCGTTGGGGCTCTCGCGTGCCAGCCGGACGACGCAGCGTACTTCACTCCGTACTTTAACGTCCCGCCCACCCGACCCGATCCGCTTCTGAGGTTGGCTCCCTCCCTGGCCCCGAGGGCGCTCCGATGGGGGGCCCCGACCCGCCAAGGGGCACCCTGGGGGGCCCCGAGCCGCCCCGGCCGGGCCCGGCCCCAAGCGCGAGCTTCCTCATCACCCCGGGGGCCTAGACCGTCGCCGGCGTCGGTCGTCGCTCGTTGTCGTCGCAGGTCCGAGGGTGGTCGTGTCCCCTGCGTCCTGCAGCCAGGGGCCCGTCTCGAGCAGTCGGGAAGTCCGGCATCGGTTCGGGATGAGAGAGCTGCTGGAATGGGAAGACCGTCGGGGCCGGACTTTGAGCATATCGTCGTCGTCGTCGTCGTCGTCGTCGTCGTCGTCGTCGTCGTCGTCGTCGTCGTCGTCGTCGTCGTCGTTCTGGTCGTCGTTTTCGTCGTCGTCGTGGTCGTCGTCGTCGTCCTCGTCCTCGTCCTCGTTCCTCGTCTTCCGTCGTCGATGCATCGCCGATCGAGGTCGATGTTCCCCCCTGTGCCTATCCCCCCTTGTCGTTGCCACTCATTCCCACTTTCCCCTCCCCCTCGGCTTCCGTCTCTCAGGAGGGGAAAAACACACAGACACAATTAATCGGCGATTCCCCAGAAAATATGGGAAAATATGGGAAGTGGGGGGGAAGACAAAGACCCAGAAAATATGCGAAACTGTGGGGAATCTTGTTATTCGTATATTTATTTGTGTGTTCCAGGGCCCCTTCCGTCTCTCCATCCACGCCGTGCCGACAAAAAGGCGTGCGATGGGCGGGCCGGCTCGCGTGCTGTTCCGTGTCTTCTGCTGCTGTTCTCGGCCTCGCCACGGCGCCCCCCCCCGATGCAGGCAGATTTTCAGGAGGGGAAGAGACACACAGACACAATGGATCGTCGACTCCCAGGGAAATATGGGAAAATTTGGGAAGTGGGGGGGAAGACAAGAACCCAGAGAATATGGGAAAATACGGGGAATCTTTTTATTTATGTGTATTTATTTGTGTGTCCCAGGGCCCCTTCAGATTTGCAGGAGTCGAAAGGAAACCTTCGCCCCATTGGTCCCCCATGGCTCTGGACCGCTTCCCGGAAACTGGAGCGTATTGCCAACGACGGGCCGTTTTTGAATCCCAGGTGTTTTTGGAGGGTCGGGGGCGATGTCGGGGTGGTGCGGTGTATATTTTCTCTTCGCTATCCCAGGGGAATATCGGAAAAAGTATACGCCAGGATCCCGTATACACCAGGATCCGTGTTCTTGTGCAAGTGTCAGTGCAGGGCCGGACAAAGCATCGGTGTATAGAGTTGGGCGCCGCGTAATGGGGGGGTCATAAATGGGGGGGTGGCGAGCGTGGTCCGAAAAGGTACCCAAACGGTACCTAAACGAGCCCCCTGGGGCTCCGGAGGGACCCGAAAGGGGCACGAAAGGCGACCTTTTCTGACCCCCCCATTTGTGACCCCTTCATTAAGCCACGCCCAATAGAGCATGTTTCCCTACCTTCCCAGGGTCCAGCTTTTCATCCCTGGTCGTTCTCTGACGCTCCCGGGGCCCCGCGAGGGTCCCCCCCGGAGGCGGGAATAGCAGTCAAGGAATCTCCTGGCGTGATTCTTGTGTTCCCGGCGGGAGGGGCTTCGGGACCCCCTCCTCACCGGGCGGGGGTGGACAGAACCCCCAACAGTGACACGTCGACTAGTGAATTGTCCGTTTTCGGTTCTCGAGAGGGCGCCTGTGGCCGCTATCTTCCAGGCTTGCGCCCGCCAGGTCTGG